TAAATGCTCCCCTACCCGCGACCCCTTCCTCAGCACTGAAGGGGGAAGGCTTCTTCTGCTGAGACGGCTACGGCTGAATGGAGACAATCATCTAACCCGGAGGACAAGGTCTAGCTGGAGCCCAGGACTATATATGGGGGACCCAGCCGCAGAGATCAGCACCAGGGTTGTGCCGGCAGCATTAGGACAGCAACGAAGACCCTGCTCCCCAAAACCAGAGACCTGGGCTGTGTGATGCGTAGTCATCAGCACTGCTAACTAACAACCAAAACACCAGCTGTAAAGAACAGCAGCAAAGACGAAGCATGGTGCTTCTAGGCAGTTGGGCACTGCTGGCAGACACCATGGCTTCATAAACACCAGGCCCAGTTACTAACAGAAACAGCGCTGTCTTCACCCCCCCTTCCCAGGGAGCTCCTCAGGCTCCCCAAGTCGGGGAGATCATGACTGCTCCCAATGGGACACACAAGCGGGCTTCCCGGGGGTTGTGGTCTGTCCCATTCGGCCGGCCTTTCTGGCGAAGCTGAACCGACCAGGGAGCATGGGGGGAGGGGCCAGCACAGGGGCGAGGCCAGCACAGTGAGGGAGGGGCTAGCAGCCCAGGACCAAACGGCTGCAATTTCAGAGGCTGGAGGCCGCCTGGCTTCGGAACTGTGAGCTGGAGAGGCAGCTCCCGGGCAGGCACCCTGAGCAGGCTCTGACAGCTGCCTCCCTGTGTCCACTCTCGTCCTCCTCCTCCTTCCAAGAAGAGCCCCAATCCGGGAAGAGAGGAAGAATGCCTGGTTAAGATAAAGCTATTTTCCCCAGCCTCCTTCAAAAACATGAACAGAAGACAGTAGTTAAGAGCATGACGTTGGAGCCAGATCCTGGGTCAAAGTCCCAGCCTTGCCTCCCACCAGCCACGTGATGCAGAGCAACGTGGCTCACAGGCCTGGACAACCTGCTTAGCTTCTTTGATAGGCTGCAACCACCTTCACAGATGTATTTTGAGAATTAAATGAATTATACATTCACTGTGTGTTGCACACACAGGCAGTCACTGCATATTAACTATTTTATTACCACGTTATTCTTAATTTCTGGCTCTTGATGGTGGCACTTTCGGGAAGATCCTTAGAAAGGGGCCACTCCACCAGCAGGTTTCTTTTCCCCTTCCTGCTTCTTCCTGCTTAAATTCTAACAAGATGACAGAGGTGTCACCATGAAGTGACAGTGAGGACAGAATACATGTTAAGACTCTCGTGTTCACAATCACATTATTCACAGTAAGCCAAAAGGTGGGAGCAAATTCAGTCTGTGGATGGATGAATGGAGAAACAAAAGAATATATTCCACACATACAGTGGAATATTATTCAGCCTTGAAAAGGAAGGACATTCTGACACAGGTTATAATGTCTGAACCTTGAGGACATTAGGCTAAGTGAAATAAGACAGTCACAAAAAGATGAACACTGGTTGAATCCATCTATATGAAATACCTGGAGTCGTCAAGTTCAGAAAGGTGGGGAGTCAC